TAAAAATAAAATTTAAAAATTCCTCATATCAGCCAAGAGATCTTTACAATCTTTTAAAAGCCATTTCTGCTGTCTCTAGCTCCCTCAGGTAGAATTCAAAGCAGCCTTTCTTACCAGATATGATATTTCCTTCTTGCATGTTTTTCGATTATATGTTATAATGAAAATATTTTGCAACATGCCATTCATTAAAACAAGAGTACTTGTATTAGATTAAGTGTGTATAAGTTACATAATTATGTAGAGTAAATACAACTGTGATTTCAATCCAACATAATTTTTTTTCTGAAATTAATCCCTTCTGTTTATAACAGTTAGATGTACAACTTCAATTCTTTGTGGAAGCTGACAGCTCATACCTGACTACTGCTGAGATGATGTTGTTTATGCCTGAGGCAGGGAAACAGGTCAGTCTGACTCAGCACACTGTCCTGACTCCTGCCTTTGAAAGAGCTCTGTGTGTAGAAATGAAGAGCATGTGCACATCTCTCCAAACATGAGTTCTCCTGAAAAGGCACTTCTGGTCTTTTCTAACTTCAGCCTTCTTTACTCTTCAGCATATAGGCCCTTCCTGCAGTACAGGAGTATGTGTTCTACTTTTACCTCTTCATGTCACACCTTGAAAGCAGTATTTTCTCAAAAAATGCTGCCACTGTTCTCTTGGTAGCCCAGAGTGGCAAAAGTGGTATCAGGATAGTTCCTTTCTCCATCTCCTCAGAGTATGTAAAGGTATTGTGCTGTTCCTGCTTTTTCTGAGTAAAGCTCAGCAGGAATGAAAAATCTGAGTCTCTGCCTTACTCAGCATATTGAGTAACCAGCCCAGGGCAGCTATAAAATGCTTTTAAAGCCAGGCCTCCCTCCCCACTGGCAGCAGCTCCGTGCCACTGGCATCCAGCTCTCATTTCAGAGTGATTTGTTTGTCTTCAGGAAGCAGCAGATGGCAGCAAAGTTGTACAGATGCACCAGGAGAAGGAAAATATCTTCGTGCACACACTCTAACAACATTCCATGGAAAAAACGTATCATTTGTTTCTGTCTGTCTTGCAGTGTGGTTAAGACAATAAATCAGGTTTATTGGCCCTCGTGCACTTGTAACATAAGGGGTTGTTTTTCCCCCATTACCAGGAGTTAATTAAATCAGGTTGGGGTGAGAGGACATGAACTATTTCTCAGTAAATCATCTTCATCTCTGTAGGACTCACTTCTTTGTGCAAATCTCTTTATATCCTTCATTAAACAGATACTGATGGCCTTGTGCAAATATTAAAACAAAGTGCTGGTGTGTGCACTTTGATTGACTGCCAGTCTCTGCTGTGAGCTATGGAATTCCTCTCTCACTTGGGCTGTCCAGATACATCCTTTTCCAACACTTCAAAATAGATAGCAAGATTTTTTTTTTTCAAACATAAAGAGAAGAAAGAGGAGGAAGGAAATGCTACTGTATAAAGTCTTACTGTTTAAAACAGTCCAAAGTCCTACTGCATTAAATAAATAATGAAGTCTGGGTTTTGGACAAGAGCACTGGAAGTTTCTGGGATTCCATCTCTGCTCATGAACACATTTAGTGAGGCACTTGACATGTGTATGTTTGCTGAAGTTGTCACTGCCAGCAGCACCACATCTACTCAGAGCAGCAGCAATAAGCATACATTGCTGAACTCATTTCAGATTAAATGGAGAGTCTGGATTTGTTCCTTCTTTTTGACAGGGATCCCATACTTGTATCTTTTAGTAGTTTCTTCAGTGTTCAAAACCAGAAATTGGGAATAAATGAAGTATAAAGCAAAATTTACAATACAGTCTTTTGGTATAAAGATAGACATGTTTTTGAAAGAAAGCTGGGGCTTAGATTTTCTTCCTGCTGAAGTCAGTAGAAGTTTTGTTTCAATTAGATGGCATCAGTCTCAGGCCTGGGATTTGTTGCTAAGATTCCTATCTGGCTCACCAGTTCGTCACACCAGCATGTCTGATGTCTCTAGGCAGTAAGGGGACTAATGATATATGCCAGTTACATATTTTTCATGTTGTTTATCAATAAAGGCCAGACTATGAATGTGTTCCTTATGCAGAATGAGATGCAAGGCTGCACAGCCTCAGGAAAAAAAAATACTTAGGAAAAGGGACTTAAAATCCCTCACTTTTTCCTTGTCTCTAAAGAGAACAGACATATTTTACAAGGTGCAGTTGTCCTCTTCCCGTGTGCAGCTCAGACCTGCTCCTGAGCCGTGGTGGCCTCTGAGAGTTTGGTGCTTTCCAGCAGAGAGACACCAGAGCTGGGTCACATCAGGGGAAAGGAGGAGAGCACACACCCTCCTGTGCTGGGCTGGGACAGCAGGGGGATGAGTTACACGGTGCCTTTCAGTCTTGGAGTGATTCAGCGTCATGGAACTCCTGTCACAGTAAGCACCTCTTAAAAGGACAATAAGCATGTTTGTTTGATGAACTGCTCGTGTGCTCCTGAACTAACAGATAAGATCCGGTTTGTTTGTTCTCCCATTTCTGCCCATACTGCTGGACATCAGAGATTAATACCCAGACATCTGTTTGTTTGTTTTTTACACCCTGTTAGAAAAGTATGAAGAAAATAAAACCTTTTTATAACTGATGGAAAAGTTGCATGTAATTTTCAAACAAATGTCAACTTACTGAAAGTATTGGAAGAATACTTATTTTGCAAAAAGTCAGAATTTATTACAAAATATGTGCCTTCAGTGGAGAGAACAGATCTTTCTTGACTTTGGAAAACCCCAGGATTTTGTAAGTTGAGGAGAGACTCAAGGAGGTCTAGTTAAATATTTTGTAAAAGTTATCACAGAATCAAAAAAAGTTTAAAAATTCATTTGGCATCCTCATTGCTGTTGTGTTTGCTGGGAATGTTGCATGCAAAACACTCCAGTCTTATCAAATCATTAACATTGATTCCAGTCTTAATGGGACCATTTGTTTTTCATTTGGAGACATTACCAAGCATTTTGACTAGTGTACATAGCTTGTAGTAAAAAGGCTTTTACATAGCAAAGTTTTTTACTTCATGAACAAATTATGCTCCTTCTTCTCATGAAGGATACATGGCCTCACTCCAGAGTATTTAAAGATTAAAACTATTTCAAAGCTGACACAAATTATTTAGTGAATAAAAGCCCTATTCCTTAAAAAATATTTGGATAATAAAAACAAACCCATGTGAATGCAATAAATAGATTTTAATTAGGCATAATTGGATTTACTTATTGATTGTAGTCAGTGATGCTGGAATTCTTTCTCCTGATGCCTGTGTGCTCCACACTGCTTAAGTATGATGTGAGATAATATGAAACGGTGAATTGACGGCACAAGGAAACTATTTGGATGGCTGTCTGGAGTTGCCATTATTGGCTTTAATTATGACTTGCTGTCCTTTGGGTACTCAATGAGCCAGAAAAGGCTTCATATGTGCCAAAGTATTCATTAGTATTCCCCCTTCTGTCATTGTGCTTGCAGAAAGAGTTTCTATCTGGCACCTGACTGCAGTTCTTCCTAGCAAGGACCGAGATGCTTTGCAGATTCTGATAATCATCTGAAAGTACACCAGTGTCTCTACTTTTTGGATGCAGTAGAAATTGTTCCTAGGTAACAGTGGAAGAACTCTGACCACTTTCTGATGTAACTGGAGAACAAACAATTTTTGCGGTTGGTCACATGACATGGCTGCTTAAAGAAAATTTTGTGGTACCAGCTGGAGAAAGAAAAATAATTCCTTGTTTTCCTCTTCCAGATCTGGGGACCTGTACAAGGGCTTCATGGGGAAGTCCTTGTATAAATCAGCATTTTAGGCACTTTGCCATCATTCCATGTAGAACTAATAATGAAGCCCAAGAAACTTCCTGAAATAAAAATAGCCTTTGGAATCCATTCTGGTAATGAAAAATTTTGGATAGAATAGAATAGATTAATTAAATAGAATAGAATTAAATAGAATAGATTTTTTGTCTGCCATAGGGCGTCCCTAGGGTAGGTACAAAGCACACTAATCACTCCTAAAGAATACTCCATGAACTCTTCTGTGCTGAGGATGGTGACCACTCCTTTGGCATCTGCTCTTGAACAGACTGGTGGATAAGGATGAATTCCTGCTCCAATACATATTTACCATTGCAAAACTTAATTTTAATTTAGAACCTTGTTTGAACTTCAAGTCTTGTTTGTAGCAGCCTTTGAAATACTGTCCTGTGGGACACCAGACTGTTCTTAGAAACCAATATTTTAACTAAGGTGGTGTGTAAACAGATACTCCTGATTTGGGAGGCATTTGATGACATCTTCCACTTCTCATCTGACGCATTACAGCATAAGCTGGCTTTGAGCTAAGTAGAGAGTTCTTGAACTTCTACTATTATAGGAGTATGCTCTCTTTCATGTGCTGTTTCACAGTCTTGCTCTCAAACCCCAAATCCTTACACTTGTCAGAGATTTTAATCTAGATTATGGATGAATTTCAGCCACTATTTAAGCATTCATGCCCAATATTTTGCTTTATGGGATGAAGTGAAAAGCTGCTGCACCAGGGTTTTTCAGTATCATCCCCTGCTTGGGCAGGAGGAAGAGCTTTCACTTGGGCAGGTTACACCTGGGGCTGGTGCAGGAATGGATGAAAAGAGAGGGTGCTGTCCTGATATATTCTGCCCCTTATAAACCCATTCCCTGAAACCTAGAACTGAGGCTGGGATATGGGAAAGAGTCCCTGCCTGCCATTCTCCTGCTCTGCCCTTCTCCTCCAGCTTATCTAGCCTAGGTTAGCAAAATCCACTGACATTGTGTTTCCAGGGTTTCCTTGCCTGCTCTTTCCACTCAAAGAGTGTGCCATCTTTGGGCTGCTCACTACTTTCTGACATCTCGCCTTCAGCAGTGCTTTAAAACACATGGTTTCAAAGATTGGTGGGGGAATGGAGGGAACAAAAAAACCCCAATCTTTCTTTTCTTTGGTTGCTGTTTATTGCAGAGAGTTTTGCTTCTCCTTACAGGCGCGGCAGGTGGTGCTCTTGGTCCTTCCAAACACAAGCTGCACTTCCTAAACCCCAGTCAGATCAGAATTGTGCCATCCTGCACCAGCTGGCTGGTTTGAGCCCTGTCTGGTTCTGGGCAGGGTCTTTCAGCTTGGAGTGAAGTGTTTTCCACCAGTGAAGAGGAAAGGAGGGAAGAAAAGGTACTCTGTGTGGGGTTTTGGCAGGAAATGAAGAAAAGATCAGTACAAACAAAAGGAACTAGTTGGCAAGTACATACTTAACCACACTGTAGCCCAATCCAGCCTTCTGTCCCAAATTTAGATGGTAAAAATATTTACTGTGGAACTTACAAGGAAAACATTGTAGCCATTAAATGGGATGGTTCTGCTGCCATTGTTTTCTTGTGCTGTGTACATTGAGTAGGATCATGCTTTCACCTACACATTGTAACTTCTCACTGCAAGCACCACAGAACTTGTAATAGCAACAATTCTAATTTCCACTTGTTTGTTTCTCAGCTGGCAGCTGTACCTTGTCCATGGATTTGTGTCATCCCTTACATCTTGCAAAATCTGGATCAGAAAGGCCAAGGGCAGGAGACGGTTAAGTTCTCTTCCAGCTGTTAACAAACAGGTATTTAAAACTGGCAAAGTGTCATTATCTTTGATTTTCTTTCTTTTTAAAATAATGTTTCAAGTGGAAAACCCACCTCTCAGGATTTCAAAAATCTTAGTTGAAAGTGCTTAGAAAGTAACTAAAAATAGGCAATTCTGAGCAGAACTTCAAAGTTTGGAATGAAAAATCATGAATACTAGCCAGCTATCTCATCAATAGATCTCTACCCAAGGTTTTTGCAGCAGTTTCCTGGAAAGGTGTCATTGCCAGTTCTTTTCAATTTTTCTCATAAACATATGTTCTTGAGGAATTTAATATTAGGTTAAAAAACAATTAAATCCCCACCTAATTTTTTCTAAAGGCATTGAGTTCTGCTGTTCCCTAGACCTCTCCTGTATATGTTAACTATGTTCAGAGATATGGTAAAATAAAGGAAATGCTTCATTTCACCCAAGAAGTTATTCAAATACACTTGTTTAGGTTTTAGGTATGTTTTCTTGGAGTGCAAGGAATAGGCACCAATAGATGGTGCTGGTGGTGCATTAATAAGGTTCAGTTTCACATTTGTTTTCTGGTCTGTGCTTGGAATTTGCTAAAAAAAAAAAAAAAAAAAAAGAGAGAGAGAACAAAACAAAACAACAAAAAAGAGCAAAACAACAAAATCCCTCATGCTAAGCTTTTATCCAAAATGTTCTCCCTGCACTGAACCGGTCACCGTTTAACTTTAACCTGAACTGTGGCCCAGGAAATCCTTCAACATAAATAACCTTGGAAGCTGCCATGACCATTTTTGGAACGTGCTGCCTTAATAAATCTGTTACTTTGTTGTGCAATGTTGAAGTGTGCAGTTGTTTCTCTGATTAATTAGGGCAAAAAATAAACTTGCACGATCAATCCAAGCTGTGACACGTTTCAGCCCTGGCTTGAATGTGTGGGCAGAAAAGAGCCTTAGAGCCTTCTCCACAGACCTGCCCTGGAATTTTGGGATGCATTGCTGGCTCGGAGTTTACCCCATTTGATGAGATAAGGTGGCTGCTAACAAAGTCTGCAAGGGAAGAGTTTTGGTCTGTCCCAGGACTGCCATTCTAGCTTAGCATGAGTAGGACTGAACACAGTGAGAAATGATTCATCTTGACCACTGCCCCCACTAAAGACAACATAACTGAAGTGTTTTATGTAATTGTGTTTATTTTATTTCACATATTACCCATGGAGAACAGCTGATACATTCTCTATATCTTTCACCAGTCTGGAATGCAAGATAAAAAAAGGTATGGATAAAGAGTTTAACGTTTGACATTCACGATATGAAAAATAGAGGGGATACAATGTTTTAAAATGCCCTTATGCAATATATATATATATATATATATATATATATATATATATAAACCGTATAAAAATAAAATATATTTTTTCCAAAAAAAAAAAAAAAAAACCATGGCACAGAACAATCTTAAATACCAATGCATATCTCGTGATCCACACACACCGCACTTATAATTAACAAAAACCACGTACAATTGCACTTTTCCTCTCTGTGACTTTCAAGTATATCGCAGTCCCCGCAGGGACTAATGAGTGTCCGATTCCCTGCCGGGTGCACATAACGCAGAGGGTAGAGCAGATGTGGGCGGCCTGTCCGTGCCCACGGCTGACGCGCACCCTCCAACCCTCGGGGACGGAGGGCGAGGCCGGGGCCCGTCGCCCACCGGCGGGTCCCCCCCTGAGCATCCCCTCCTCGGGGCGGCGGGGCGCGGGAGGGCGGCCAGGGCCGCCCGGCCCCCCGGGAGCAGCGGCGGCGCCTTCGCGTCGCGGGCGGCGGCGGCTGCGGGAGCCGGCGGTGCCCGGCCCGGGCAGGGCCAGAGTCCGTGGCGGGCGGGGGGCGCAGCGTCCGCTGCCCTTCTCAGCTCCCCGCGGAGGGCGCGCCGGGGTCCCGCCCGGGCAGGCGCTCTCCGCGATCCTGGCGGATCTCAGCCCGTGCCTCAGTCCATCATCCGTCGAGGCGGCCTCGGCCGGCTCCTGCGGCGCTTCAGACTCCGAGGAAGGCGGCGAGGGGCTGCGCCCGGCGCGTCCGTGGGCGCCGCCCGGAGCTGGGAGAGCGCGCTGGGCTGCGGGGCTCGGGCAGGGAACGCCGCCGGCGGCCGTAGCCCTGGGGGCTGATCTTGTTTGGGGGGGCGGCATCGTTCCTGTCGTTGACGGCCGCCCTGTGGAGCTCGTCGACCAGCCAATGCACCGTGCACGTCCCGAAGCGGCACGCCTTTGTTTGGAAGTGGGGGAATCTGTTAATGCTCTGGCGGTAGCGCTTGACGCGGATGTGAGCATCCTCCCGGTTGCTGCAGGAAGAGAGAGAGAGGGCATGTGAAGAGCGCCGTGGGGGCCCGGAGGAGGGGACCCGGTGGGCGAGGGAAGGGGAGGGTCTGCAGGGCAGGCAGCCCCAGGCTGGAGATGGGCTCGTCCCGACGGTGCCCGGCTGCCCCCCCAGCAGTCCCGGCCGTGCCCTCCGCGGGAGCGCCGAGCGAAGCCGGCTGCCCATGCAAGGAGAGGCCCCGCCGGTTTACGGCTGTTACTTTTTCCTAAGCATCCAGGGCTCGAGTTACTATTTATATCTGACTTTCGCAGCAAAGGCGCTACTATCTCCCGCCAGCTAAAGAGCGCGGGGAAAGAAGGCGGGAGGCTGCTTTCAGCGCGATGGGCAGCCCGGGCAGGACCTGCCTCTGGGGCGGGGAGGATCGACAGCAAGAATAACCCTGAACACCCGGAAACCAGGGGACCCCGAAACTTTCTACTGCCTCGAGCAAGTGCCCGAGCCCAGGAAGGGCTGGAATTTACCTGGGAGGTGAGACTCGGGAATCCTCCTTCACGTCCTGGGTGCGGATGAGAGGCAGCACGTCGGCGGCTGCCCCCAGCCCTCGGACCAAGCCCGCAGGCTTCACGTCCCGCTTGGCTCGGCTTAGTGCCCATTTCGTCCATCTGAAAGAGCACAAGAGAAGAGGAGAGCCTGTTATCGCAAGTCTGCAGGGCGGGAGCCAAACCAAATAGATTCGAGGGGCGAAAATCTTTGCCAGCGCAGAGATTTTTTCCTTTTTTTTTTTTTTTTTTTTTTCTTCTCCACCCCCGAATGCTTTCTGAAAGGGCACGAGGCCTTTAAGGAGCTGAGCAATCCCTGCAGGGAATCAGGGAATCCAGTGCCTCTGACGGCTGCCGGAGCCAGGCGCGGGGCGCTGGCAGGAGGGCGCGCTCCGATACTCACTTTCTTTTGAACTCTGTCGCTACGTCCACCCTTGCAGCATCCACCCCGAAGAAGGTCACAGAGCCGAGATAGAGCAGGGCTACGTGAACTAGTTTCATTCTGGCTGGGCTCCTGCTGGAAGGAAAAGAGAAGAACTATAAGCATGCTTGCTAATAAAAGTCAAGTAAGGACTGTCCTTTATTCCTGGTGATTCCAGAGAGCTCCTTCCCTCGCAGAGCCCCCAGGCTACCGGGGACTTTGTGTCTGATATGAACCAGAAGCTAATATTTACTCAACAACTTATCACAGAGTAAATAACAGAGTCTCCAAAGTTTACGTTTGTCGAGAGTTTAGTTGCAGAGGCGGCTGAAAACCAGCAGGATTTCCAGAATACCCCCAGCGGCTTGCACTAGGATTTAGCAAACCCATAAGATAGAGGGAGCTGGCTATCGGACACATCGTTTCCAAACTCCAGCAAGTGTTTTGCTGCCGGGAAGTTTATTCCCTGATAGCTCCTCTTCCCACTTCACAACGCAGAACCAGCTAGGTCTGGATCTTATGTTGTAAACTGCAGCTGATGCCAAGAGCCAGTGCAAGACTCCACAGCATAACTCCAAACTCTTCAAAACAGTCCAAATTTAGTAGAGTTTTACTTGCGTTCCACCTCCCCTGAATCTTTTGTTGTTGCCAAGGGCGGGAAAAAAAAAATAGTTCTTACCTGACAGTGAGGATAATCCACTGAGACAAATGTTTTTGTAGTAGCGATCCGAGCTTGCAGGGTTTCCTGAGGAGCGAGAACTCCTCCTTTGTGTGTGTGTGTGTGTGTGTGAAGTAATCACTGCCGAGCTCTGCGCTCCTCTGCTTGCTTTTATAGAGAGCGCTGAGAAGTGGGTGGACCTTGGCGTGGCTGGGCGAGCTCTCTCTTGGCACCCCCCACCCCCACATTTCAAGCACTCCTTAAGCATTCTGACCTGGATTGGGGGCAACACTGAGGGGGGGGGGGAGGATAAGAGGATTATTGAAAATTATCTTAAACAACCCCCTTGGTATTTTGTTAATTATAACGGCAGCTTTTAGGATTCTGAGTCATGGCACAACTTGCAAAATCCGATGAGCCCCTCAGCCTGTTTTACTGGGGACAGAGGTTTTAACCGCCAAAATATAATTGTATTTATGATGTCTGTAGAATAATTTTTCATTCTAGACATCTTAGCCTCAGGTGGGTGAAAGCAGGGGAGTGGAAACCAGATTCAATCCATTCCAAAATCCCTGAAAATCCATCAAATATCAAAGTTCCAAAAATAAACCCATATTTGGACAACGTGAATTTATAATGAGTAACTGGAATGACAGCCTTCTTTACATAAGTAATGAGGTGGCAAATCGGGCATCATTAATATTTATGACTAAACTTGGGTGCATTTGTTATCTAACAAAATGAATTTTATTTACTTGATCGATTCAAGTAGATCACGATTCAAATGGTTTTGGCAGGTGAAGGTCAGAGCCCAGTTCTGTGCCTTGGAACAGAGCAAGTGGCGTTGCTTTGGGGCGAACACGGGGTCACTGAAACGCCTGGGGTTACGGGGCTGGAAGATCCTCCGTGCCTTGTGCCGTTCCCAATCCGCAAACCTCACGGATGTGAGTGCAGTTACTTCCCGGTCAGAAAGCTGAACCGGTGCAGGATCGGGATCTCTAACAGCATTCTCTCGGCTGGCCAGCAGCAAAACCTTAGTCTGACCACCTTGTTATTGGGTTTTTTACAGTCTTTAGCGTCTTTGCTCCGTGACGCTTCAGAAATGCAGCGGTCCGGCTTCGCAGGGGGTGCTCGCAGCCAGCAGCGGATGGACCGTGTCTCCGCTGACTTGTGGCAGTGCAAATTCGGCGGCACCGGGGGAAATGCCCCGGGAGATCTGCGCCCTGGGGCAACAGGGTCCCCCGGCCAGCGAGAGACGCTCGGCAGGAAGGAATGAGTGGTGAGATGCTTCTCTCGCATCTTGCCGCAAGCAAAGTGTTTCAAAAGTCAGGTGAGTGAGCGTGTGCTCGTGACTCTGCCTTTCTAGATAACCGCGGTGTATAACAACACCCCGGACAGGTATGTGCAGGGGGATGACGGAAACTTTCCTGTGCATGGCTCACTCGGTGCTCTCTCCCTCCCTCCCTCCCCTGGCTCTCCAGCAGCGTCCAGACATCTGGAGCCTTCTGTCTCCGGCATCTACCTGTGCGGGACAGGCTGGCCGGGGAGCTGCCACCGCCCGGCCGGCGGGAGGGCCGGCGCTGCCTGTCGCTGCTCCCCATCGCATCAGCCCCGCCGCCCCTCTGCCCCGTTCCCCGGCCCGGTTCCGCTGCCCGCCGCACCTGGCCGGCCGAGCCCCGGCGGGGCTGCCCCGGCTCAGCCCCGTCCCTGCCGCCCGCAGCTCTGCCGAGCCGCAGCCCCGCTGCTCGCGCCTCGGACCGTGCTCCGGAGGGCAGAGCGGGAGGCTTGGGGGGAAACACAGGGAAGAAGAGATGGGAAAACAAGTGGTCTGGAACGGGACCGTATCATGCCCGGAGCTGCACGACTGGCTGGATTTTAGAGACTTCATGAGGCAGCTCAAGCTCGTGCGAGTTCAAGCATTTCCTTGATTAGCAGAAGTTGAAACTGAATCTAACTTTTTCCGAATGAGAAGGCAGGATTTTATGTGATAAGCATTGCTTTGACTCAGATTAAGTCTCCCATTCCAGTAAAAAAAAAAAAATAAAAATCACACGTTTCCTCAAATGCTGGAAAATCCCTCATTAAAATCTTTGGCTTAAACGGGAAGTGTATTTTGTATACTCTGAGACAAAAAATGCAGAAAAGAAATTCTATGTTGATTTCGGAATATTAATAACAGTAGTAACACAACTCTAACGTTTCTTCCATACTGACTGTAACTATCATCTCAGTGATAAAAAATTACTTCATGTAGATTTATGAGGTGGCAAACTCTGACACATAAATGATCAGTTTGTTGATGATGTGATTTGTGAAAAGGCGTCAGCAGGTAAAGCTGGTTCAAATCTACTACAAAACATCATGTTCTTTGTTCAGAGGCTCATTTTGTTCTTTCTATGAACTTGCATTCTCATGCAGTTTGGAAATGAGCAATAGTCACTGAATTGGTACTGTGATGTAACAGTGACCAATTTTAAAAAAATTATGCCACAAATAGTTATTTCCTTAAAAAAAAAAAAAAAAACTCCAAAAAAAACACCTCAGCTCCCCAAGCTGTGAGTCTGAGGCAATGCCAAGCAGTTCAGCAAGAGCAGTGTGTGATGTGAAGTGCAGGGTCTCCCAGATGCTGCCTCATCCATGATGGGAAGCAGCCAGCTCCTGTTTACTGCTTATCTTGGGTGTACCATTCAACCTTTTGGTGTTCTGAAGACCTTACAGCAAGTATCTGCTCTGGCAGAGACATAGTGAAGATGAGTTGCTGTTTATAGAGCATTTTGTTCAGGCTGAGATTTATTTGAAAAGAAAAGAAAAGATCTAAAATCTGTGGGTAGCAATGGGGAATCAGTGTGAGGCAAATATTCTGTGCTGATGATGGAAGAAAACTGTTGTTTGAAGCCAGTGGAAGTGCCTTTGCATGTTTTACTTTGTTTAAACAAATTGTTCTGAATTCATATGCCATGAGTATGAATAGACTTGATTGTATTTCAGGCTGCGTGAAATCAGCAGAAAGATAATACTAATAGAAGAATGGCACCCCCTGAAGGATCTAAAACCTCACTCAAGCTCCACACAGAAAAACCTTACTGTTAGTGCCTGCACCCAGCCAGTTCTCTCCGTGCCAAGAGCACAGTGACAAAGGGGTGATTCCATTTCAATAGTCTTGCTGGAGGTGCTCTGGTATACACCAAACAAAGCCTCCCAAGTGAGTGAGGGATGTCTCTTGGTAGGGGAAATCTGGTCAGGGTTATGGCTGCCCCCATGTTCTGGCATGGGTTGGCAGAGTGTGAATTCCCTGTTTCCTGGAGGAGGAGGGAACTGTAGAAGGTATTGTAAACGTTCACACCTTGCTGTTGGCAAGGGCACAATGTGAGTGTGGCAACACTGTCCCTTGAGTGCTTTGGGGCTCTTGGAGAGGCTGCAGCCTTTCGATTCTTCCCCTGGGGGAAGTACATTACCTGGGGCTTGTGGAAACTGGTGCCTTGGTGTCCTCTGTGAGCCCCTGCTTCTCCTGAGAGGAGCTAGGCTGCAAGTGAGGGAATTAAGGCTTGGTGGTCTGGATGAGCATTCAGTTTCACTTTTCATTAGAATTTAGGTGAGCAAACACTGTGTCTGCTCCACTTCTTCATTTGTCCTATAAGAACATAAGATTGCTCTATTCTTAAGGTAAGTTGCCCAGAGAAGTTGTGGATGCCACATCCCTGAAAGTGTTCATGGTGTGGTTGGATGGGTCTGAGCAACCTGGTCTAGTGGCATGTGTCCCCACCTCTAGCAAGGAGGTTGGAACAGGATGATCTTTAAGATCCCTCCTGACCCAAAACCTTCTGTGATTCTGTAAAATAAATAAGCTCAACTACATTCCCTATTTCTTATTTAAGATGTGCCACGTCTTATAAACTTTACAAAATTTGGCTGTACTGATTCAGATGGCAGAAGGAGCAAGGTTGTAAAGTGAACACTAGCAGTACTGGGAAATCACTAAATAAACATCTTGCTCTTGAACATTTATTTATTGCTCTTGAGCATTTATTAATGCTCTGGGAAAGGTGTGAGTGATTCTCTCCTACTAGAGATGCTGTGTTAAAAGAGCAGTGAGATTTCACTATTGAGATTTGTAATTGCATATTGAATCTTTTTATGAGTGTAGATATGATAACTCTAAGGACCCATTTCAGCTCCAAATTAGGTAATTTCTCAGTGTCTTTAAACTTTGCCTCCAGGTTTAGCTGTACAGAACATTATCCTTTGCTTTTGTGAACTGTTGTTGTGTCCTGCAACCAAAATGCCTATGCATAACTTAACAAAGATATTCCTTGCTAACCCCTACCTAGAAAAAGTGACTGACCCCACAGAGTGCATCTCTTTCTCAAAAAGTATGGTCAATCTTTTTGATGTATATACGATACATTTTTCTTTACTCCTAAAGAAGGAAATGTATTAGGATTGGATCTTTACACATGTCATTTGCTTCAAAACAGCTAAATCACGAAGCTGATGACTCGGAGGAGATGTCAGCCTCTGCCCTCCACTGAGAAGGCACAAGCGGGAACACTGCTTGAAGCTTCCTGACCAATTTGCATCTGGTTTATCAGCGAGACACTGCATCACTATGTTCCAGCTAAGAGGTGTGAGAACGGCGTGTTTGAAACAGAAATGTCTCTGAGACCACTTCTGACTGTCTGCTGGGTCCCTCGTCAGGGTGGCTCGTCAGGAGCAAATCCAGTTTGCTGCAGTTCCACACCCAGCCCGGCACCCACGACTGCTCCTCGCTGGAATGCCACCTACGTCCTCCGCGCTGGTTCTTTTCTCTGTGCTGTCAAACGGGACGTTCATAGAAGCTTATCAGAGTGGTTTTTGCAGGCTCTGCCAGCTACCCAAGCGCATTATTGTCCGCTCCTTTATCCTCAGCATCTCTGCGACTGCTGGCAAAGTCCACCGAGCTTTCGAGGGCCAGGGTCCAGAAGGTGCCTGCCTCCTCTGCACGTTATAAACAGCACCACGGCAGCTCCCGGCGCGGCTCGCTGAGCGCCCCAGCGGCCACCGCCTGTGCCCGGGCCAGCACGTCCGGGCCCACGCGGGTCACGCCGAGGCACCGCCGGCCAGTGCCCTGCCAGGCTCGGTCCCGGCGCCGCCAGCCGCGGGGAGCAGCAGGGCCGGGCCGGGCCGGGCAGGGCAGCACAGCCCGCTCCGGGCCGGCGGTGCTGCTGTGAGGGGGCCGGGGCCGAGACCCCCGCGCCGACCCTCGGCGCCGCCACAGAGCCCAGCGGGGCGGCGGCACGGCTCCCCCCGCGGCGGCACGTCCCGAACACCCCGGACAAAACGTGACCGGGACACATTCGGGACGGGCAATCCCCGATTGCCCAGGCCGGGCTGGCGGGGTCGCCGTTATCTCGCCGCCGGCTTCCATTTCCGCGGAGCCTGGGTGAGGGCGATGCCCAGCCCAGGCAGCTCCAAGCGGGAGCGGCGAGGTGCAGCCCCGCTCAAACACTTGGGTCTCCCTGGGCACACAGAGCGCTCCGACGGGCCGCGAGTGTCTTTTGTGAGGGGAACGGGCTCCGGACCCGCTGCTCCCCGGGCGGCCACCGCACTGGGGGAGGCTGCCGGGAGACAAAGCCCGGCTCGGGCGGGGCGTGGGCCTCCCCCGCCGGACCCTCCCCGCCCGTGGGGGGCTGCGAAGGGAGGCCGCGGCGCTGGCAGCGGCGTCCCGGCACGGCGGCCGGCCCGGGGCAGCGGCACTGCGGGACAGCCGGGCCGGGCCGCCCCAGCCCCCGCCCAGCCCCGGGGTCACGGCGAGCGGTCCGGGCGGCGCGCAGGCGCACGGCGTGCCCGCGCCTCCAACATGGCTGAGATGGTGCCGTTCCTCCTGCGGCGGGCGCGGAGTGGAGGATGCTGAGCCTGCCCCGAGCCGCCGCCGCAGCCGCTGGGGTGGTGAGGCCGAGGCGCGCCCCGCGCAGCCATGGCCAGGCTGGCCGACTACTTCATCGTGGTGGGCTATGACCACGAGAAGACAGGTAGGTGTGGCTGCGCGCAGCGCTGCCCCGCCGTGCCTGGCCGCTCCCCGCGCTCCTGCCCGGCCCCGGCCCCCGCCCGCCTCCGGCCGGGCCGCGGGAGGAGGAGACTGCGGCGCGCACGGGGCGCGCGTCCGGCCGGGGGAGGAGGGGGTGAGGGCAGCGGGGCGAGCCAAGGGTTAATCCCCCTTTCCCGAGGGGGGAAGCGGCGGGATTCCCGCACCGCCCGGCCGGGGCAGCCCCGGCCCGCCCCGCCCGCCGGGAGCGGCTGCGGCTCCTTCCCCGAAGCGCGGGCAGGTTCAAACGGGGCCCGCGGCCGTGCCGGGCCCAGCGGCCGGAGCCGCGGGGCAGGGCCGGTGCCGCCGGTCCCCACCTGTGTCCCGGCGGCTGGGGCGCGCTAGCCGCGCCGCCCGGCAGAACAAAGGCTGCGTTCGGCCGGCGGCGGGGCTTGCCCGGCTCGCCGCTCATCCATCGCCTGTTGAGCGGCGCCGCGAGTCCCCCGGGCAGCGCCGTGGCACCGAACGGGGCGGGAACGGGAGCTCCTCCTAAAGCCTCGGGATACCGAGTTCTGTCTGCTGGGGGAAAGGGAGGTGCTGTTATCTGCTGTCGTTTGTGGGCAGAGAGAGAGTGGTTTGTATTACGTAACTCTCCGTTATGGTACCAGCTTTGTTGCTGCAGAGATCTCAAATCAGTGTTTAAGCTGACTGGAAAACGAAGTGATTGTCAATTGGAATGTGTTTGTGCTGCGTATTTCAGAGCGCTCCTTTGAATGTATGCTGTTAATAAACAATATTTTAAACAGTCGAATGTTCCCTGATTTATTTGACTATGCATAAACCAAACAACACTCAAGTTTGTTACTCAGAGTAATTCTTTGAAGTAGCAATTGCGTGTAGTCTGTATCTGTTCATTCAAAAAGTGCAGCTAATAAACTCGGACTGTGAGATTTTTTTAAAAGAAAGAATTTTTAGAGAAACTGTTACATTTGCGTGTTTAAAGATGCAGTGTCTTACAAAGTTCTGCTAAGGGTCTCTTAGATTTTACTATTCTGCGATTGTTATTCCATTAATTACATCCTGGTTACCCTTCCCATCCCATTTGATTGTAGGTTTGTCCTAATTGTACTGTCAAAATCAATCCATGTGAAATGGTAAGGCTTTTATTTTAAAAATAAAAACCTTTCCTTTTGCCTCTCTCCTGTTTGGAACATTTTCCCTGACAAAGTAGAGAGAACCCAAATCAAAACAAAGAAGCAACCAAAAACCCAGATGCGCTTTTAAGAAGATGACTCTAATAGGCTGCTTACTTCATTGAAGTGAAATTATAGATTGCATTGGAAAGCTTTATGTCTGTAAAATGTCTTCATCTGTAGCATTTAAGTATGTGTTTAACTTCCCATACATAAACTGTTTCATGAAGTTTGGTAGAATTGCTTGCCTGGGTGAAATTGAGCAGATTCAGAAATAGAGCAGATGCAGAAATAACTCCTGAACCTTAATTTAAAAAGGTCATGCCCAGAAAGTAATTGTTTAGACTTCATTATTTAAATGACTTGTTGCTACTTTAATGCTTCATAAGAAAAATGCTTGAAGGAACAACATTCTGTTGAAGACTAGGCATGCATTGTTTTCCAAATTCCTTTACCCCCACATGCAATCCCATAATACATGGAATACTGACCTTTATTTTTCTTATAAAACTGTAGTTTTTGATGCATTTATTATGCTTCCTTCTATATGAAAAGCAGGGACAAGCATTTCTAGGATTATAGACGAGCTACCCTTGAAGCTTTTATATTTTTAAGTATGTTCCTTTTCTTTCTATCCTATTTGTTTTTCATCAGCAGCTACCTTCTGGCCTGGTTTTAATGTGCTTGATTTTAATGTTGAGTGTAATTATGTTTTGTAGTGTTTTTTTTTCCTTTTTTTTTTTTTCCCAGGCATAATCTGTGGGATAGCTTTGTGTAAACAAGCAAACAAAAATGCTGTACCCTTCCCCCAACCTGTGTGTCAGCAGCATTTGGATGATAAACACTTGTGGTTTGTAGGGAAGGGTGTTTATAGTAGTGACTGCTCTCCCAGGAAAGCCCCACTGTGTCTGCTGGCTCTCCCCTCACTGCTTATATGGATTTATTTACATGGGCCAATAACTTACCCCTGAAAATGTGATAAAGGTGCTGATTTTCTGACTTTACTCAAAAAACATTAGCTGTAAATATCTAAAATGCAATGTTTATGCAGTTTAGGAGCAGATCTGTAGATTTTTTCCTGTTTTGGAACAGCTTTGTAAGTGATGCTACAAGTTTTTATCCAGCATAGTCTTCAGGGGAAGTGAAGGGTTTTATTGTCCTCAGATAAACCAGAGTGTGTCCTTTGGGAATCAAGCATGTGAAAGTCCATTCCTGTTCTGGTCCAGGCCTGTGTAAATTGATGTTACAGCAGTCCTGGTGCTGCCATTCCTATTGTCCTAAACCTTCCTTTGGATCCAGCTCACTTCAGGATGCTAACCCATCCAAAAGACCTTTCTTGCTGGGTGTGTTACCTGTGTTGCTGTATTGTCCTTGGATTACTTTCCTGCTCATTTTTCAAACAGTGTTTGCTCACGAGGATGTCAGATGAATGCCATTACTGGCATAAAGGAGGGTCAGGAGCATGCTGAAAGACAGATCAATGCACCCTGAATTTCTATCAGCTGAAACATTCCTAGAGCCTTGGGCACAAAGCTGTTAGTGAGGTGCCTTAGTGTCCTACATGCTCCAAGGAAACTGATGGGAGCCCTTGGATAATTTGCCTCACAGGCAGTTCATTCATGCCTGGCAAGTTGCAGAGGCTCTGCCTGAGTGGAGAATGAGCTTTGCTGTTGACAAGCGTCAGAAGAGTTGCAGGCACTTAGGAGCTGAGAAGTCTTTGTGCTGTGGAGGATGACCTGAATCATCCAGCTTTTTGTGTCTTTCAGGTGCCCTGGTCTGTGTTCCCACTTAGGTTGCTCAGTCTGTGTCTCACCATGAAACTAAGCTTCCGTGGATCATAGTTTTGATGGCTGTTGTGTATTTTAAGCAGTCGTTCTGAGCCACTGCTCTGAACTGCAGCAGCATTAGCTGCTGTCAGAAGTGCATGTTGAGTGTCCTGACAGAGTTATAGAAACCAGATTTATAAATCCCCCAGCTTTACTAAACCCTTTTCTTTTTTTTTTTGCTCTAACAGTGATACTTTTTCAGAGTAAAGCAATCAACCTTGGTGTATTTTGTCTTCAGCTGAACCTTGGCTGAGGTAGATAACCACTCTTTCCCCAGCATATCAGCACAATATAAAGCTGTTACATAACTGGCTACAAAAGGCACTTACAGAAGTCTCTGAAAGGAGCAAAGGTGCTACCAAATGTAGGTATTCTGGGTTAACAGCTAGGAGAAATCCCAGGAGCCCTTACTGTTCATGCATTTTGAAGTGTGTTTGATGTGCTTCACCAAAAAAATTATCAATTTAATATGTCTGAATAATGGAATGTGGATGGGATTTAGGAAGAACACAGATGTTTGTAAGGATCACAGAAGGGCATGAGAAAATGCCTGTTTTGTTTTGTTTGTTTTTGGTTTTGCTGGTATAAGCCCTAATCATAAATCTATCCTTAGAATTTACATACAGTACTTCTTGGAAAAGGTAAAAGAGAGAACATTCTGTGTCTTCCTTAGCTCAGCAGCCAAAAGGTGAGAGGATAAAGAAGAGAGGATCCAAAGACTGGATTTGATTAATTTTCCCATACACCCGTGGCAGCTTTCCTGTAGGATGCTGTTTTGTACCCAGAAGTTAAAAGAGAAAACCTGTGAGGTGGAGCAGGATGTTTTCTGTGAGGTTTGGTTGCTCTAAGAGGACTGAGGAATGATTTGTTCTTGATTCTGTGTGCAGTTGCAATGTGTAGGACAGAAGGCTTCCAACAGTATAGCAGTTTTATTTGGCTGTTTTCACAACTGATAAATGCTGGTGTAACATGTGTAGGCTCTGTTGTGGTTGTTTCTGTTCTGATTTTTATCAACTCCTCTTCAGGGAAGCCTTTATT